GCCGGGAGTGCGGGGGACCCTTCTGCAGCAAAAGCGGAAAGTTGGAAGAGCCCGTTCCGGACCAACCGTTCCATTTCCCAGCTTCCAACTTTTAGGCGTTCACTGTATGTGCATACACTATACATTGCTGCTAAGGGTTATACCACTCGTTTCAGTCAGGAGGTTGTTAGTGTTCCTTCCTCGGTCCAGGGTTTAGCTCGGGCTCGGGGTTCAGGGTTTAGATTTGGAAACCCTAAACCCTGAAAATCCCAAAAACCCTTAACCCTAAAACCCCAAAGACTTAAACCCTAAATGGGGGTTCAGGATTTGGGGTTCGGGTTGCGTTCTTTTTGCCTTTCTCGGATCGCGGGTTCGAGGTTCAGGGCCCGGGAGGTTTAGGGGCATTTTCGGGTTTGGGGTTCAGGGTTCAGGATTGAGGGTTTAGGGAGGCTGGGGGCGCTTTAGGGCTCAGGGTTTAGGGTTCAGGGAGGTTTTGGGGAATCGAGAAGGGCCTACTTCGAGCTTTGGGGCTAGTGCAGGGGATAACAGGGATCTTCCGAAAATTAGGGTACCTTATCTTGGGGTCCTTATAATAAGGATCCTATTATTCAGAGTACTATCTTAGGGGTCCCCTAATTTCGGAAACCCCCAACACTGTAGTATAGGTACAGCAAGGGCCCGAAGGAATGGTATTCATGATGTGTCATGCCTCTATGCTGCAACTTATCAGCAGAGGCAAGGCAGGAGCACGGGGAAACTTCTTGTTGCCCGAAAAGCTGAAAATATGCATCCGAAGCTGGCTCTGAACCGTCGGATCCTTTGCATGACCCCCAAACAAGATACGTACAAATAAGGTGATAAGACGTTGGGAAGGCTCCTGGGCTTTTTATCTTCGTGTCTTGCTGGTGTAGAGTGCTGGAGCGCGTGCAACGGTTGAACCTACCGGTCCAAAGTGCAAACTGGGCGCTCGGGAACGTCGCGGTGATTTCTAGAGAGGTTATTGCACTCGTCCCTAAACCCGAACCCCCGAAACCCTAAGCCCCAAACCCTTCTTTGAATTAATAAACCCTTTGAGGCTTTGTGGCCTTCTGCAAGGTACCTTAGGGTGTTCCGATAAAGGAGACCCTAAAGCCAGAAAACCGAAGCTAGAGGCCGCCCCTCCTTAGACTACGATGTCGGGGTAGATCATAGTGCCAGAATGCAGGTTTTAAGCAATTTAAAATTCTTATGTATATCAAAAGTTATAGAATGCAGATTACAAGGAGCCTAGATCGGGGCTCATCATCGTGAATCTTGCAGTCCCCTATGATGAAAACCCCCGAAACCCTAAACCCTAAACCCGAAACCCTAAACCCTAAACCCTAAACCCTAAACCCTAAACCCTAAACCTCAAAAAATGGAGTCCGAGCGGCCCAAGGTTGTAAAGCAGCGAGGTGCCCTCCCCAAAGGGCAGAAGCCCAGAGGAGTAGTAGAGGTGCACAAAAGCCGCGAACCAACCTCGGAACTTCTCGAACGGTTTAGGGTTTAGGGTTTAGGGGCTTAAGGTTTAGGGTTTAGGGTTTAGGGTTTTCGGGTTTTGAAGGTTACCTGAACCCTAAAACCTAAGCCGTCCTTGGTTCTGGCTTCGGGCGTTTGGTGCTTCGAGTTCTGGTTTTCGGGTGAAGGGTCTTGGGCCCTTTTTTGCAGTGAGCGCGAACGAAAGTTTGGAATTTGGACTTTAGAGGGCTGAAACACTGCCTCAGGCGGTCTCATGTGGTTTTCCAAATCCCTCCAAAACCCTGAACCCGAAAGCCCAAAAACCAAAGCCTCGACCTCAAACCCTACACCACCAAGGGTTTAGGGTTTCGGGCCTGGATCATACAGGAGCCGGAATAACCCCTGAATAATGGCGACAAAACTCTCACTTCGCTCGTCCATCCGGGACACAGAACACCACGAAAAAGAACGGGCCAGTGTCGTTCACTGCCTGCACAGAAACTCTCAAAGCACAGCACGCACCTCAAACTAAAGGGCTTCTTTAATTCTCGGGCTTGTGCATGGTATATGTTGTTGCTTAAAAGGGTCTATGCACCTTTAAGCTGTAGTTATATAAGGGGCTTCCGCATATCAGTCAAGGTATATACTGCTTGATGGAACGATGTGGGAATACCTGCCTGGCAAAGCCACCCAGGGGGGTGCAGGGTCTAGGGTGGAGGGTTAACTTCGTGTCAACACCCTGGAATCTGTAAGAAGGTTATGGTGCTTCATGAGAGCTCGATAGGGCTTCGAACACCGCTGCATGTAAGATTAGAAATTAAGTCTCGTAGGTTTTGTTCGCTGCAGAGTTTATGGCGCGAAATTTAGGGCCCTCGTGATTAGCATAGGCTTCGGGCGTGTATTGCACCATAAGTACGTGGGGATGACAAGGGCATATTTTCTACTAACTATTCAGGCATCGGTGTGAAAGAAGCCAGGTCAGACAACTCATGTAGGGGCCTCGATAATTACCCATACCATTTTGTGGCTTCCCCAATGTGTGTATAGTATAGTTGGCCACAAAACCCTACTCTAATTCATAAAGGCTCCTACATTAAGGTTTGGGATCTAGTCTAGCTGTTTGTTTGATCGCCTCTTTTCGTCTCCCTCTTTGTGTTCATCCGTAAGACGAGCTGAGGATGCTGCGCCGGCTACGAGCACTACTCAGCTAGGGGCGCTATGGGTTTTAGGGTTTAGGGTTTAGGGTTTAGAATATCGAAATCCTTTGTTAAGAAGCTGAAAGGAATAGTGTTACTATCTTTTTACATAGGTTTAGGTATGTCAAGGAACCCAAAGGACCGGTGTTTCTAAGTATTCAGGCATTCTTCGTAGAACCCTTGTGCACCCAATGCAAAGCACTATACAAACTCTCCTTAACTCTTACAAGTCTTGATCTTGAAAACTCGACCTATCTATCTAGCCATCCATCTATGTATCTACCTCTTTATTTGTGCTTCTATCTATCTATCTATCTATGGATCTATCTATCGATTTATCTATCGATCTATCTATCGATCTATCTTTCGATCTATGTTTCGATCTCTGTATCTATCGATCTATCTATCTATCTATCTATCTATCTATCTACATGTATATGCCTCTCTGCATCTCTATATATATATGTATACATACACATGTATACATGCATGTGCGTATATGTATGTATGCATATATATATATATGCTAACCCCC